ACCACCTAGGTCAATAAACTGGCTCATCTGTTCTTGTGGCCCCCACCCAGGAACTGACTCAGTGCAAGAAGACAGCTTCAACTCCCTATGATTTCATCTCTGACCTGACCAATCAGCATTCCTGGCTCACTAGCTTTCCCTTGACCACCAAGTTGTCCTTAAAAACTCTGATCCCTGAATGCTGGGGAGACTGATTTGAGTAATAATAAAATTCAGGTCTCCTGCACAGTTCGCTCTGTGTGAATTCCTTTTTCTCTATTGCAATTCCCCTGTCTTGATAAATTGGCTCTGCCTAGGCAACAGGCAAGGTTACATTGGGCAGTTACATTCTTATATCCTGAACTTCCCCCTGATGTTGACTCCACTCTATAAGACCCGGACTGAGTCAGGTTATTCCTGCTAGGAATCTCCCCATTGCCTCCTCTGGGGAGCATCTCCCAGCACCACCTGGACGTTATGTCTCTCCTGCAGCCTTTGCCACTTTGTAAGATAACAATTCATTTCCACTTCAGCCTCCCCTACTAGTCTGCAGGCCCCTCACAGTCAGCCTCATTCATCTCCATATGGTCTTGTCCACTTTGTAGGCACTGAAATGTTAAATGAATGGATGAGCAGGGACTAATTTCAAAGGAGAATGTGTGATCCTACCTGGGTTTTACTTCTGACATTCTCATGTCACTGCAATGGCTTTTCTAGAGACAGTTCTTGACCTTGAAGACTCTTTTGGGCATTTGTGTTTATCCACCTCTTGGCTTCCTCATGATCTTCTCCTTATCTGCATTTGTCTGATTTAGATGAGGAGGTCACTGCTTTGCATCTGTAGAGCACTCAATATATCTAAAAACTGCAAAACCCAACTCTGAGTTTACAGTCAGTAGCAAGCTGTTAACTCCCAGCACGTGGGGAATCATCTGTTAGAGTTGGAACGGTGCCCTGGGAAGTTTTACATTATTTGTGTGTCAAAGTATAGGAAGGAAGAAAAGAAGGGAGGAAGGAGGTTTAAAAAAGAACGGATATTATTTTAAAAGGAAACACTTGCAAAAAATTACTTCATTCCCTCACTTGTGTATTGACTGAACAGGAAACTTCATTGCACGGGTGCATGAAATGATCCTTGAGCCCTCCTTATCACAGACACTGTCCTGGGTATGAGGAGCATAGGAGGGAGCATGCCATCTGTGGTTGTAGGCCTCTCAGTGTTTATGGTCTGGCACCCCTCAGGAGGCTGGGTAATATGCATGGCCCAGGTCACATAGCTGGAATACCTAGCAGCTTTCCCCCTGTTGCCATGGAGACCCTGGAGAGGGGAAGAGGAGCAAAGTCCTTTCTGGTATCTTCCAGCAGCTCCCAGCATCCTTTCATGTTGGCCTGGGCCTTTTCTTCAGCTGCAAACACCCACACTGGACCTCCAGGAGAGGGAAATGTGCAGCTGACCTCTGGGGGCCCCGGGCTGAGGGTGATATATGCCACAGAGGAGGAGGACGTTGGCGCTTCCTCAAGGCTGCTGAGCAGACCTGCCATGAAGAAAATTATGAGGTGAATTAAACTTTAATTTGATTTTTATTTAGTTTCAGCAACCAGTAAAGACACAGCAATTTCCCCAGCCCTCTTACTGGTTGGAGGAATGCTTTGAGAACATCTGTTTTATTAGCAGCAACAACAATAAAAGCCAATCCTATATTTGCAGAGGGGCTGTCTTCCAAGGCCCTCCAAGTACTTTCGCTGATCTTATCTGTTCTCCTTTCCACAGCAACCCCAGAGAAATTGTATTTACTTGTAATTAAGCTTAACCGCTGACCTCTCCTGCAGCTCTCCCCACTACTGTCTGCTCAACCATTTGCACTGCAGAAAGGAAGACTAGCAAGGTGGAGGTCGGGGGAGGCTTCCGGGAGAAGAAAGAGCAAGATGGTGTCTCTTATTCACTCTTCATCCACCCTTTATTCAACACTTACTGGGGATTCAGTACCAAGTCAGTATAGCACTGTGTTCTGGGTTTTCAGGATTAGGAAGGTGTATAGAGACGTGTAGGCACAGGAAAAATGTGAGAAAACATTTCTAGCTTGCATAGAATTCTGTTTTACTGAAAGAATAGAAAAATATAGAAATTTCCTATGTTTTCCCTAAATCCCTTCTTTTTTCTGTTCATTTGCTCAGATGCCTAAATTATTATTATTTTTAAAAAGACATAATTATCCTAATTACTTGACAGAAATTCACTATACTTTAAGTACTAAAAGTGATGCTGCTTTAAATTCGACAAGCCCAATGGATAAACAAAATATGGTATATTCATGTAATTGAAGATTATTCTGCCAGGAAGAGGAATAAAATACTAAATGAAATACTACATTGTGGGTGAAATTTGAAAACCTTATGTTAAGTGAAAGAAGCCAGTCATAAATGACAACATATTGTATAATTCCACTTATGTGAAATGTCCAAAGCGTGCAAATTCATTGAGACAGGGAGTAAAAGTGGTTGCCAAGGTTTGGGAGGAGAGATGAATGGGGAATAACAGCTGATGGGCTTAGAGTTCCTTCTATGGGTGATAAAAATATTCTGGAATTACCTAGTGGTGATAGTTGTACAACCTTGGAGTATATTAATCAAAGTGTGCCCAGCCCTTTGTGAAGATGACTTTTTATTACCATTTTGAATCTGTTCCCCGTTAACAACACATATAATCAAAAAGTCATTAGATTAATGTGATGTTTATTAAGAATGTGTAATAGCATGAATAAATGCTTCTTATAACATGAACTTTAAAAAGTGGGTTATAATGTTGGGTTGCAGTGTGCACATAACCACTGAATTGCACCATTTAAATAGGTGAATTTTGTACTACGTAAATTATATCTCAATAAAGCTTTAGAAAACATTCTACAGACCTGGTAGCAGAGTGTAATCTCAGGGTGGAGGTCACTCAGAAATTTAATTCCAGACACTTCACAGTCTGTGTAAGGGATTTGGGATGCCTCACTATTCTTTGAGATAGGAAACAACAAGGGTGTGGTGATGGGAAAAATCCTGAAAATGAGGCAATGATGAGCAAAGTAAGAGACGGTTGGCATAGCATGACACTGAGCCTTCATGCACACTGGAAGCATGTTTGTACATGGATCAGCAATACATATGCAGTGAGTGAGGGTACACGTGTATTGCCAGACAAGTAATACATATGGAGACCTGGGGGTTGGGTAGAAATGAGGATCAGGAATGTAGAGGAGTTCTTCATTGGGTTGATGAAATAATAATGCACCACGGTTGGGCATGGTGGCTCACATCTGTAATCCCAGCACTTTGGGAGGCCATGGCAGGTGGATCACCTGAGGTCAGGAGTTCGAGACCAGCCTCAGCCAGCATGGTGAAACCTCATCTCTACTAAAAATACAAAAATCAGCCAGGTGTGATGGTGGATACCTGTAATCTCAGCTACTTAGGAGGCTGAGGCAGGAGAATGGCTTTAACCCGGGAGGTGGAGGTTGTAGTGAGCCAATATCATGCCACTGCACTCCAGCCTGGGTGACACAGAGGGACTCCACCTCAAAAAAAAAAAAAGAAATAAAAAGAAAAGCACCACAACGGAGGAGTTCAATTGCTTTCGAAGGTTATTAAAATATGGCAGAAAAGATTCTTAGAGCAGATACTGGAGAGATAAACCATCAAAAGAATAATGTAAGACAAAATGGAATCAAGACTAATGTGTTTTCCAAGTTATAAGTCAATAGGGAAGTGTAGTCACTTTTTTAAAAAATTAAAATTTTTTTTCTATTAAATTTTTCTATTAAAAATATAAACAAATGCATTTATTTCTATTGTTTTTCCTAGTCCTAGACCTTTTGTTGTATTTTTAAAGTTATATGTACACTGTAACCCAACATTGTAACCCACTTTTTTCAGTTCATATTATAAGAAGCATTTATTCATGTCATTACATATTCTTAATAAACATCACATTAATTGGGTGACTTTTTCATTATGTGTGCTGTTAGAGGGGAGCAGATTCAAAATGACTGGTAATTAAAAAGTCATTTTTACAAAGAGCTAGGCAAACTTTGATTAATCTGAATGCTTAGAGAATTAATTCTTCTTTATAAAATAAATCTCAACCTTAAAAACTATGCCACATTCTAGCCAGGGAGACAGGAGATACAATTAAAAAGCTGAACAGCGCAGAGGCAGAATTATTATCTTTTCCTCACCAGTCTCTCAGCAATGATTTAAAAAAAAATATTCTCCGGACGAGGGCAGACACAGGCTGGAACAAAGGAGTCAATGGAATTGTTGGATGGGGTTGTTGAAACTCAGAGCTGAAACAATAGTCTTGAAAGACAAGGTACCAGAGAGTGGAAAGGTTTTTTAAATTCCAAAAGCTGGCTTTGAGCATCAAAAGCCGAAGCTGGGGCCGGGCGCGGTGGCTCAAGCCTGTAATCCCAGCACTTTGGGAGGCCGAGACGGGCGGATCACGAGGTCAGGAGATCGAGACCATCCTGGCTAACACAATGAAACCCCGTCTCCACTAAAAATACAAAAAAAAATTAGCCGGGCGTGGTGGCGGCGCCTGTAGTCCCAGCTACTCGGGAGGCTGAGGCAGGAGAATGGCGGGAACCCGGGAGGCGGAGCTTGCAGTGAGCCGAGATTGCGCCACTGCACTCCAGCCTGGGCGACAGAGCGATACTCCGCCTCAAAAAAAAAAAAAAAAAAAAAAAAAAAAAGCCGAAGCTGGAAGGAAGCTGGGCATAAAATTTATCCACAAACCACAGAATAGGTAGGAACATACAACAAACTCGGCTACCTCCTGAGACCTGTTTATTACTGAGATAAGAAGCCTATTCCAGAATGTAAATCAACTTTATCACTACGAACACTGTTTCGTTCAGTTGGCACTATTGCTGGTTTTTTTTTTTTTCGTTGTTGGTTTTTTTTTTTTTTTTTTTTTTTTGTTTTTTTTTTTTTTTAGCAAGACTTTCTTGATGAAGGAAGCAATACGGTGATTTACGTGCTGACACCAACCAGACTTAGCTTGTTGCCAACCAGCACTTTGAGTAGCTCTGATGTAAGAGATAGTTTTACATTCCAAAAGGGGAGGGACCCGAGAGTTGGGAAAGGAAAGCAGGAAAGTAAGATATTGATATTGTTGGGCTTCCCTGTGAGAATGTTCAGAGTCCTAACCCCTCTCCCCCTACCCCGTTGACTTCATGCCAGCAGTGGGGTATAGAAAATGTGTTAGAAACCTCTGATAGGGCCTCTTTTACCAAGGACCCGCCAACATGGGCCGCGTTCACACCCAAACCATGAAGAAGGCAGTCCGGGTCATCATAGAAAAGTACTACACGTGCCTGGGCAACGACTGCCACACGGACAAGCACGTGTGTGAGGAGATCACCATTATCCCCAGCAAGAAGCTCCACAACAAGATAGCAGGCTATGTCACGCATCTGATGAAGTGGATTCGGAGGGACGCAGTAAGAGGTATCTCCATCAAGCTGCAGGAGGAGGAGGGAGAAAAAAGAGACAATCATGTTCCCGAGGTCTCAGCCCTGGATCAGGAGATCATTGAAGTAGATCCTGATGCTAAGAAAATGCTTTTGGACTCCAGCATTTGGCAGTCTGTCCAACCTGCAGGTCAGTCAGTCTACAGGTGACATGACTTTCAAAACGCCTCAGGGATCTGTTTGAATCTTTCTGCAATACTGTAATATTTTCAAGAAACCTAGGACAACGGCACAAAACAAACGAACAAAAATAAACCTCTGATTGGTTTGGTGGGGTTAGGGCCTGAGGCAAGAGGGCACTCGTGCCTTGCTCCCCAAGCTGTAGCGTAGGCAGACAGTGAGGCCCTTAGAGAGGCACACACGATGTCAGAGCAATAGTCACTGTAGCTCCATGAGTTACTCGAGGACTGCCTCACAGTGTCCCAGCAGCCTGAGGTCCAGAGATCTGATGCAGAGAAGGGAGAAACATTGTGAGCGGGCTAGAAACCTTAGAGGTCTTGGGTTAAGATGAGGACGAGGCAGACTGGCTTGCCTCATGTTCAGAAGCCTTGGCAGTGTTGCAGGCGTCTGTTACTGGAAAGGGGTCTCGATCCAGACCCCAAGAGAGGGTTCTTGGATCTTGTGCAAGAAAGAATTCGAGGCAAATCCATAAAGTGAAAGCAAGTTTATTAAGAAGGTAAAGGAATAAAAGAATGACTAATCCATAGGCAGAGCAGCCCTGAGGTCTGCTGGTTGGCTGTTTCTTGATTATATGCTAAACAGGGGTGGACTTTTCATGAGTTTTCCGGGAAGGGTGAGCAATTCCTGGAACTGAGAGTTCCACCCCTTTTTAGACCATATAGGGTAGCTTCTGGGCATTGGCATGGCATTTATTAACTGTCAAGGTGCTGGTGTGATTGTCTTGTAGCATGCAAATGCATTATAATTAGTGTATAATGAGCAGTGAGGACGACTAGAGGTCACTTTCATCATCATCTTGGGTTTGGTAGGTTTTGGCCAGCTTCTCTACTGCATCCTTCTATTAGCAACGTCTTTGTGACCTGTACCTTGTGCTTACCTACTATCTCATCCAGTGAGTAAGAATGCCTAACCTCCTGGGAATGCAGCCCAGTAGGTCTCAGCCTTATTTTACCCAGCCCCTATTCAAGATGGAGTCGCTCTGGTTCACGTGCCTCTGACACATCCACCACAAAGGTAGAGAGGAAAGAGCCACGTGGCTGTGATGGCTTGCAGATGAGAAGACAGCCCTGGGACAAAGGTAACTTCCAGTGCCTCTCTTTGTTATGGGGCACTTAACTGCTCTTGGCCAGGCACTGTGGCTCACGCCTGTAATTCCAGCATTTGGGAGGCTGAGGTGGTCAGATCATTTGAGGTCAGGAGTTCGAGACCAGCCTAGCCAGCATGGTGAAACCCCATCTCTACTAAAAATACAAAAATGAGCCGGGCGTGGTGGCGCATGCCGGTATTCCCAGCTACTTGGTAGGCTGAGGTGGGAGAATCACTTGAACCTGGGAGGCGGAGGTTGCAGTGATCTGAGATCTTGCCATTGCACTCTGTAGCCCGGGTGACAGAGTGAGACTTCATCTCAAAACAAAAACAACCAAAAAAAAACTATTCTTTTTACCCACTTCATTACCCGAAACTTAGATGTACTGTCCCATCCCTATCCCAAGGGGTGGAACTTGGAATTAACCAAGTATTCTCTCCTCAAAAAATGGGGGAGAGCTACACTCAAAGTGAGTTGAATGGACAACATTAAATTTTCTACTATTGGTGGAAGTGGGGGCTTGAGAGTTAAGTTAGTTATGAGGAAATAAAGATATATTTCTGCACTCTTTAGGTTGTGATCCTTTCAGTTAGGATAGGCTAGATTATGCTGCAGTATCAGATAATCCCCAACTCTCAGGCATATAACATATCTACCATGGGGCAGCTGAGGCTTGGTTTGAAATCATCCTCACTTCAAGACCTATGCTGATGGAGCTGGAACTTGCCTTTTTGCAGAAGGAAAGAGAGCTCTGGAGAGTCTCCTGTTAGTGATTAAATGCCCCAGTTCAGAGGTGACACACATCACTTCTATTATTTCCACTCAAAACATACTGACTTGTATCAGCCACAGTGTCCCACTCAGGAGGGGGCTGGAAAATATTGTCTTTCTCTATGTTCAGAAGGTGGCAATCCAAAAATATTTGATAAACAGTGCTAATGACTACCCTAGTAGCTGTAAAAGTCTTACCCATTTCATTATTTAGGACTTCAGAACAAAAACAAAACAAACAAACAAAAAAGCAAGATATATAAAGTGCTGTGGTTTAGATGTGGTTTGTCTCTGACAAAACTCATGCTGAAATCTAATTGCCAATGTAGCAGTGTTGGGAGATGGTGCCTTTAAAAGGTGATTAGGTGGTTAAGATAGGTTAATGTATTTCTCCCAAGACAGGGTTAGTTCTACTGGGAATGGATTAGTTCCCACTAGTGTGGTTTGTTACAAAGCAGAGTTGACTCTCATGTTTTGCCCTCTTTGAACACACCCACTTGCCTTTCTGCTTCTCTGCCATGTGTGACACAGCACGTGGCCCTCACCAAAAGCAGAGCAGATGCCAATGCCATGCTCTTGGACTTTCCAGCCATCAGAAATGTGAGCCAAATAAACCTCTTTTCTTTTTATTTTATTTTATTTATTTGTTTGTTTATTTATTTTAAGATGGAGTCCTGCTCTGCCGCCCAGGCTGGAGTGCAGTGGCACAATCTCAGCTCACTGCAAGCTCCACCTCCCAGGTTCACGCCATTCTCCTGCCTCAGCCTCTGGAGTAGCTGGGACTACAGGTGCCCACCACCAAGCCCGGCTAATTTTTTGTATTTTTAGTAGAGACGGGGTTTCACCATGTTAGCCAGGATGGTCTCGATTTCCTGACCTTGTGATCTGCCCGCCTCGGCCTCCCAAAGTGCTGGAATTACAGGCAAAAGCCACTGCGCCCAGCCTCTTTTCTTTTCAAATTACATTCTCAGATATTCTGTTATGGCAATACATGACAAAACTTAGGCATATAGAATAGCTCTGTAGAGCATAGAACCTGGGGTTGAGTTTTGACTCACTTGTAAATGGAGGTATGCTCTTAGCTAGCTTACTTAACCTCTTTGACATTTAGAGTTTCCCCAGGGTTGGTATAAAAAGTATATGAAATAACTTCCTGGCACACGGAAGTGACACAATAAATAGCTATTATTTTTATCTTTTTTTGTTATCATTTGTTTCTTTTCCTGATAGTTTATTGTCCTAATTAAGTCAGAGTGCTGGTTAGTGGGGTTCCAGCTAATTAAAGTCTTTTTTTCTTTTTTAAATTTATCTTGGCTGGGCGTGGTGGCTCATACCTGTAATCCCAGCACTTTGGGAGGCCAAGGTGTGTGGATCACTTGAGGTCAGGAGTTCAAGACGAGCCTGGCCAACTTGTCTCTACTAAAAATACAAAAATTAGCTGGGTATGGTGGTGCATGCCTGTAATCCCAGCTACTCAGGAGGCTGAGGCAGGAGAACTGCTTGAACCCAGGAGGTGGAAGTTGCAGTGAGCCGAGACCATGCCGCTGCACTCCATCCTGGGAGACAGAGAGAGACTCTGTCTCAAAACAAAACAAAACAGACAAAAAGTTTATCTTAAAAAATATACAGTCAGACATTTATATTCAGCCAACCACATATATTTACAGCAGTGGCCCTCTGGGCTCATTTTGAATGATGGATATCTCATCCCCCATCCTAGAATGTCCCTGTACCATCAGAAACAGTGGTCGGTGACTGAAGAGTGGTCTACATTTGGTTTTGTGTGCTATGTGGTTGGTAGTAAATGGAAATTATTGCTTCTCCTGCCCTACCCAAACCCACAACTAACAAATGTGAAATTAAGGGGAAAGTAAATAACAGAGAGAGCTGTGAGGGAAGTACAGCAAGAGCACAGGCCCCTGCAACCTCCATGGTGTTAACCCTACACCAGCATCAGTGGGATTCACAGCTGACACTGTCAGGATTTCCATGAAAAAATGGACCTGCCACCTCTTCAGAACAAACCCAGACAGTCCATGTCCCGTGTTTTGGTTTAGGATGTGGAAAGGTGCCCACCAGAACCTGGAAATGGCAGGACTGCCCATTTCCGCTTCTGCTAGTGTACTCTGGGGTTTCAGCATGGACTAAGGGGCAGAGGGGAATAGAGGGCTTGCTTTCTCCCCAGCTGTCTTTCAACATAGCTCTCTCCTCTTCTCCAACCACTTCCCTCTCCCACTCCGACTCTAGGCCTCCACCAGGGAGGTGGAGGAAACCATGGGCCCCCGACCCAGAGAAGGGTTCAGGCACCTCCTTTAATGTGCCCTTGCCTTCTCAAAGAAGAGGTTTGGATTTGGGCAGCAATGCAAGGAACACTTCTGGAAGGCACACTTCTCCCAGAGTCTGAGTGTGTGTGTGTGTGTGTGTGTGTGTGTATGTGTGTGTGTAGACAAACCCTGTGTTCTATTTAATCACTGAGGACCAAGTATTATAGTTGTACACAAGATACTAGACACTGTGTAAAAGTAACCATGAAGGTGAATAGGCTTGGCCTGAAGCAAAGTGATGTTTTGTGTAGAGGGTTACTGCTGTTTCAGGATATCCCTTGCCAAGCCCGATTATGTTGTAAATTGAACTCCGACAGAGAAGGAGGACACTTTGTGAGGTTAGTTGTGTCATCAGATCACCCATCCTCCAAACCACCCCAGGAATAAAATAAAACAGAGGCACAGAAGATTTTTTTTCTATAGACCAATCCCCAGTGCACATTCTGCAGAGGGAATAAAAAGTGTCCTTCAAGGAAGGACAGCCTCAGAAATTGCGTTCTCTTTTAAAATTAATTTAAAAATCCACTGGCAAAGGTGGGGAGAAAATCCTTTAGCATACCTTACAAAGCACAGGGTAAGGTCAACCATAAATAGCAGAGTCCCTCTCCTAACTTAGTTGGAAGGAAGGGTGAGACTGAGAGGGCGAGGCAGAGAAAGACACATGGGATAAAAGAAAAATTTCACAGAAAAGGGACAGCTGAATGCTGAAATAAATTAGACATACTTGCAGAATGGGAGTTTGGACTTCCCATAGGACACAGATGTCCTTGGTGAATCCTGTCTGGAAATGATGTTGGAAAGGTGAGATTCCAGCCTGCACAGAGGTTCTCTGCCTCCTACAGCAGCAGAGCAGAACCAGGGACAATTCCTTAGGTTTACAAGGTAAAGCCTGGAGTGAGCAACTGTTAATCAGGAAACCAGCACCAGGGTTGACCAGCAGCCTTGGAAATTGTCTGGGCCAGGGTGAAATTGTGTGTGTGTGTGTGTGTGTGTG